GCTGGCCTCCAGCAGAGATCTACCTGCCTCTGTCTCCTGAGTTAAAGGTGCGCGTCACCAATTGTACACTTTTTAAACCGATGAACTTTATGACACATAACTTTCATCTCAATAGAGTTGAAATCCAACTTGGTTGGGGTATTAGTTTTCCTAAGTACGCGGGTAAGTTTTCTTAGAGCCAGCGGCCCCGGAGTTTCATAGAGAAAAACACCTTCTGCCTGGGGCAGCGAGGCCACGCCCCTTCCCTCGTTTCCTAGCAACCAGTTTCCTACTGTACGCTCCAGCAAGCCTCCCTCCGTCACTTCCGTTCTCAACAGGAAGTGAGGTCAACCCGGCGGCTTTCCCGGGAGTTCAGCGTTCGCCTCAGGTGAAGTAGTCTTCCTGGACTGGTACTGGCACCGTTCCCGTCCAGGGCTGGTGCAAAGGCCCGGGGATCCGGGGACTCGCACACGCGCGGGCCCAGGGCGGCAGGGGAGGAGCCGGCGGCGAGGCTGCTGGGTGTCCGGAGTCCCGAGTGTGTTCGCTGTCCCAGTTGCTCACCCCCAGCTCTAGATCTTGGACATTTCCGCGCTCCTCCCCCAGCTACCTAGGTCCTGCGTTTGAAGGACGGCCCCTCACAGAAAACATTCTCCTCGCCGACTACCTCACGCCCAAGCCCCTCAGAGCTCTACCAAGACCTCCCTGGGATCTGTCAGCGACTTTTGAGTTGCCAGAGGCCTGGGGTAAATGTTTCCCTGAGTGCTAAGTCTGGGGTAGGGAGACAGTTCCTGCAAAATACGGGATTAGGTAACTTGGGGCGGTTTGCATTTTGGCTTACTTTTCTTGAATGTCTCTGGCGGGGGTTCTTCTTCAGATCAGAGGAGTTTGCCGTGGTGTAGGTGGTGGGAGGTCACACCGCGATGAGGCTGGAGGGGCCCAGGTGATGCTAATTTTGTAGGTTTTAGTCTGGCCCGCTCAGGGATTCAATGGCCCGTTTGTATCAGGTGATCCTCACTTTTAGGCGTTTAATGTATTTCTTACCCACAAGTAAGCTGTAGTTTTCTTAGACGAGGACTGAGGCATACAGTACTTTTGGGACTTGCATCGCACCAGACACCGTACTGAACACAGTAAAGGTGCAGTCATACTTTAAAACCTGAGTATCAGTGAATCCGTGTTCACATCGTTAGCTTGACGTTGAAGGGGTCACACTGGGCATGGTCGGATACCAGCACTTGGGAGGTGGAGGCAGGAAGTCACTCTCGGCTCTGGAGGGGGTTTCATACCTAGCCCCGGCTTTGCAAGACCTTATCACAGAACAGAAAATAAAAACTTTGAAGGCATCTGTTTAAACATAGTTCAAGGCGGGTGGTGGTTGGCACACGCCTTTAATCCCAGCACTTGGGAGGCAGAGGCCGCCGGACCTCGTGAGTTTGAGACCAACCTGGTCTGCCAGGGCTACACAGTGAAACCCTGGCTCAAAAAAAACCAAACCAAACAAACAAAAACCCAGAACAAAACATAGTTCAGCTTCTGGAAAAGATGGCACGAAATAGCACCACCTTTTTAGATAAAAATAGTAAAATCTATTTATATAGTTTACTGAATTTGAGACTGCTCTGGGATGCCCTTTCATACCCTCAGGAGAAAACAGTGCACCTATCTTTTAGGAAAAGGCCAAATAATGGCAAGTCCATTGCCTCCTTGTTTTTCCCCTTTTTAATATTCATTGTCTCCCCCCTTTCCTACCCTTTTAAATAGGTATTGCATCTTAACTTGCTGACCCAGAGGTGCTGGTCATTATGGGAAATCAACTTGCTGGCATTGCTCCTTCCCAGATTCTCTCTGTAGAGAGTTATTTCTCAGATATCCATGACTTTGAATATGATAAGAGCCTGGGAAGTACTCGGTTTTTTAAAGTTGCTCGAGCGAAGCACCGGGAAGGCCTGGTGGTTGTGAAGGTCTTTGCAATTCAAGACCCCACGTTGCCTTTAACTAGTTATAAACAAGAGCTGGAGGAACTGAAAATCAGGCTTCATTCTGCACAGAACTGCCTACCTTTCCAGAAAGCAGCGGAGAAAGCATCCGAGAAAGCAGCCATGCTGTTCAGGCAGTATGTGAGAGACAACCTCTATGATCGCATCAGTACCCGTCCGTTCTTAAACAACATCGAGAAGCGCTGGATCGCCTTCCAGATCCTGACAGCTGTGGACCAAGCGCACAAATCTGGAGTCCGACATGGGGACATCAAGACCGAGAACGTGATGGTCACCAGTTGGAACTGGGTGCTTCTAACTGATTTTGCCAGTTTTAAGCCGACTTATCTTCCAGAGGACAATCCAGCAGATTTCAACTATTTCTTTGACACGTCACGCAGGAGGACTTGCTATATTGCTCCTGAACGTTTCGTGGATGGTGGTATGTTTGCCACTGAGCTGGAGTACATGAGAGATCCCTCCACTCCACTGGTAGATCTAAATAGCAATCAGAGAACTCGGGGAGAGTTGAAGAGAGCCATGGACATCTTTTCAGCAGGTATTTGCATATTTTAACTGTCCAATGTAGACGCGTAGCTTTTTGTAAGTTGCCAGATTTTCAAACATTCCTGAGTCTGCCTTCGTGTACTGTTTTGAGATAGATACACAATTTCCCCATTGGCCATACTTAAGTGACCAGAAAATGCAAAGTGCTTTTCATTCGTGTAAACATTCAAAACACACTTTCCCATGCTGGTGACATGAAAGGATGCTCCATGACTGTTTTAAGATGGAGAGAAAGTCCATCTCACCCTGGGTTTGCTATGGTGGTAATGCGCATAAGATACTGTTACAGAAACTCGTGTTAAATGAATGGGTGTGACAGGGAGGGAGGCAGTGTCAGAGAGGTCTCGGTTAGAGTGGTGGGATTCAAGCTGAGGCCTCTGGAGTGACTGGGAGTTAGCTTTGGTATTTGTTTCACGCCGTGTGTGATGCTCCTACCAGGCATCTGTGTGACATTGGTGTTTATAGCTGTGCATTTACTCAGAGGACTAGTTGAGTCCCTCAGAGGTTTTTGGGTTTTTTTGTCTGTGTATATTCATGTGTGTGCAGGTGCGTGTATATGTATGTAAGTACGTATGCAAGCACACGCACACACGCGCACACACACACACACACACACACACACACACACACACACACTGGACAGTGCCTGAGGAAGCACACCCAGGGTTGTCTGTGGCTTCCACACTGGTAAGTTCCCTGCCAACTCTTAATTATTTTTGAGGCAGGATCTCTCTCTGGGCAGGGAGCTTACCATGTAGGCTTCACTGGTCAGTGGACCCCAGAGATCTTTTCTGTGTCTGTGTCTTCAGCTCTGGAATTACAGGCATGTACCACCCTACCCAGGTTTTTTATGTGGGTTCTAGGATTTTAATTCAGGGCCTGATACTTGCAAAGCAAGTGATTTTCTGACTCAGCCATTCCCTAGGCCCGTATGAGTGGTTTATTTTATTTTATTTTTTTTTCGAGATGGAATTTCTGTGTGTAGTCCTGGCTGTCCTGGATCTCGCTCTGTAGACCAGGCTGGCCTCGAACTCAGAGATCCGCCTGCCTCAGCCTTCGGAGCGCTGGGATTAAAGACTGGGCCACCACCGCCCGGCCAGTTTTGTTTTTTAAAGATGCTTTGTAACTCTTTGACACTTACCAGACCACATCTTAATCGATTGCAGATTTTGAACCAGGTGACAGGATCACAGATCACCATGGTGTGGAGCTTGTTTGGGGACTCCTCATTGTCTTTTCTGGACTAATGTTCGTAACTATGGTAGGGAACATTGCTCACTTATTCCTTGGACCCGACAGCTTTGCTGCCATCGGTGCGCACATCTGGAGTTCCCAGGTCCTTCACGGCATAGCTCTGGGTTTCTCCGAGTGGCGGGGGGAACACACTTCTCGAAGCCCACTCCTCAGATGCACTTAGGAGTTGACAGTAGACCCTGGGGTGATGGCAGAGTGGCCCTTTCTTGTTTGCAGGAGCCATCCTGCCAGGCCTGAGTCAGGAAGGGTCTCTGTAAAGTTTTGTTTGTGTGTAATCCCGGAGAACTTTGTAATTTCCTTTTGATTTTCCTCCCAACACTGGGAACGGACACAGGCTCCCACTTCACGTAGTCAAGCACAGCATCTCTGAGCTACATCTGCAGCACTTTTCACTTTATTTTACACAGGAGCTGGCTAAG